GACTAACTTTTTCCTAATCGAGAATTCTAAACCTGCAGAGGCCATTCTGACTAATTCATATTCAGGAATTTGAGTAAAACATCTCGATTTCATTTGTCTAAATCGATTCAAATAATCATCTATGCTTTCATGATTGTATCTTTTTATATTCATCAAGTCGATGAGACTTACTTGGGTTTCTCCTCTAAAGAATTGCTCATGAAAATTTCTTTCCAGTTGCAGCCAATTATATATCGAATTGGGTGGCAACGAAGTGAACCAAGTAAAAGCATTTTTAGTCAAAGAACTAGGGAAATATTTCATTTTTAATTCTTCACTCATCGCGAGATCTCCACATTCGATCTGATATCGAGCTACATGCTCGATAGTTGATTCACCAACTTCTCCAGCAAATTTGGTGAATTTAGGTACCTTGTATCCTCGAGGTAATTCCATCTCGAGAATCGTGTTTGGAAAAGGAGACACAAAGTATGTTTGGTTGGGCGGTCTAAATTCTATCCCTTGGAAATTCATCCTTTGTCCTAACATGTGATTATTTTGCATGTTATTTTGATTATACATATTTTGGAATCCCTCATTCATATTTTCATAAATATCGTTTCTTCCATGTTGGTATTCATTCCCCATTTGTTGATCATTGTTTCGATTTCTCCTTAAAAGATATGGGGGATTGATATTAGTATTCTGATTAGCATGATTTTCTACCCTCGTTTGTCGATGTACAGCCAATGCATCCCCGATTCGTGACATTTGATCTGCTAATATCTCAAAACTAGCGGTAGTGTTTTGAACTAATGGATTTAGGACTGTAGTCAACTGTTGTGATAACATATTCACCATCTCAAAATTACTCTCATCCATTTGTTGTCTAAGTATTCCTAAGGAGTTACTAGATATTCCAGTACCAGTATTTTCGATAGTATCAAAATTAGATCGATGATAATCCCTATCGAATGCATATCTCCCATGATCTACGTTTCCTCTATGATTTAGATTTGGAGGTATTTGCTGCGTTCCTACATTCTGCACACTCCCTGAGTTCTGGGGAATTACTAAATTTTGAGATGTTCCTAGGTTTGGAGATGCTCCAAAATTCTGTGGCATACCTAGGGTTTGGAATGTTCCTAAGTTATATCTCAAATTTCGTTGCATCGAAGAAATACCAACCCCATTCATGTTAAGCGAAAACTCAGGTGGTCTTATACTCATATACGACCCAGCATTTGTTGTTATAGGGTTTCCCATAGTTGGCATACTGTTTAGTGCCACCGTGCTAGATCCTACTTGGGTATTTGCTAAAGTGCCTGAATTTTGTTCATTACTCACGGGTATCGACATACTTACAGTTGTCGATACTACAGGTGTATTCCCATTATGACTTTGCCCCCCAGTATTTGGTGGGTGTGACCCATTTAATCCCTCAGTGTTACTCTGGTTACTTGATGAACTCTGACTCATGACTCTCCCACTCCTTAATCTCATACACTCTTGAACTAACCAATTTTGTGTTTCTCAACACAAAAAGTTCCCTACCTGGTGCGCCAATTTGTTTCTGGTGGAATTTCGATCGATTTCGATTCTAAAGGTGATTTGGTCATAATCAAAATCCTCCCACGTAAGTTCTTTTTACTTAGGCTAGCAGTCTGACTTTTAATCGAAAACGTGTATGAGAATCGAAAGTCACAGAATATCGAAAACGCTATTTTTTATATTTAAAATACCAAACACAGAAAAAATATCGAATCGAGAAACAGAATATTAAATTACAAGGAAATGTAAAGTGCGAAAACCCCAAATTTGCATTAATTGTAAATGACAGGAAATCGAAAATACAGAAACTTAAAATTTCATTGAATTGAAATGACAAGGAATCGAAAAGACAGAAACTTAAACTTGCTGAATTTAAGTTGCATCAAAGTAAATTACCAAGGAAAATACAGAAAGCGGTAAATGTACTCAGTGAGCAAGGAAATCCAGATTGTCAGAAGTTTCATGGTGTTCGTCGTTTCTCCGGTAGACTTTTCACTACTGATTCTGTTCTCTGCCAATTTCTGCCCCCTGTTCCTTCCTCCTTTGCTCTATTTATAGGGTATCGTTCAAGCCTTCCAAGAGCAGTTAACACGACTGCTACCACGTTCTACGTGCGTATCGCAGTTTATCTTCTATAGTTTCCCACGTTCTCACAATCTCCGACTTTTTTCCATGGTTTCGAAACCACTCTCTACACGTGCAATTGACTTACTTCCTTTCACGATTTGGCCAAAGTCTCGATGTCCACATTGACTTTCTTTACTCTCGATTTTGTATTTTTTGAGAACTTCAAATTGCTTACGATTCCTTTTTAATCTTGGTCTCATATGACTTAGTTTTTATTCGACAACAGGCATTTGGTTATCATTCACTCGATTGTGCTTCTCGATGCTATATGCTATGTACTTCTAATTAGGCATCGAATGAATTTTTGTTTATCTTATCGAGTCACATTTCTTTTCTTCATTTTCGATCGCTTTTCTCGATTTGCCACTAACAATTATATGACCTCAAGCTGAAAGATTATGTATAGAAATGCATGAACTTTGAAGCTAAGACATCGGGATTCAACAACTAAGGATACCTTTCTAGTTTGCATTCCCTATCAAAAGAGATAAAACCACAAACTCTTTTTTGGGTGAGTGATTGATTTGCCCGTGCTTTATTCTGTTGATTAGAGGACATTTTGTGGCTACATTACAAAAAGGACTTAGCTTAAACCCAACTCAACACTGACAGCACTAGCTTCATCTAACGGAACGGATCAAACTTCGTTCTCAAACCACCACCAAATATCTCCCAACTTCTATAACTTATTATTACGATTATTTTGTAGGCATAATAAATTAGAAGCACAGTTTATTAACCACAAAGTTAAGAATTAGCATGGAAGACTATTTGGAGACCCCATTTATTTTTAGGACGTGGAAGTGGGTTGTAAGAGGATGATTAGGTGCCAAATTAGAATTTGAAGTTGGATTGATAAGGTCCACTTTTTCTCAATGGAAGGTGATTGTCCCCACAGGCGCAACTTAGTGCCGACCACTTGTTTGCAGAAAAGTTTCCATAGGAAAGTGCAAATTCAATCCCTATTACTTGCGATTTGTGTGTTGTGAATCTTCCAAATGACAAGGATTGCTCATAATTGTTGGATAAATCCAGAAATATTTTTTTGAAGGAAACGATAAGAACGAAAGAGAGAAAGGATAAGCACGTGCGTCAGCTTCCTCACATACAATACGAAACGAATTAAGAATTAAACAGCGTGCCTTTTTATTTTCTTCACACGTCAAACAAATTTGGAAACAATTTGTGTAAGGCAATTGCATGCACATAAAAACCGCTACAGGATTTCATTTGTCATGTCACATATAAGAGAGAGGTCTCGTTTAAATATTTTTATGAAATACAAAAAATAAATTATTTGATAATTTTGTTATCCATGTTCTAAAAAAAAAACAAAGATTCCAAAATAAATAAATAATAATAATAATAATAAAGAGGTTGGAGTGTAAAGGAGGAACACCATTATTCATTAGGGTGTGGACTTTTGTTTGTGAATCACATAACTAAAAAGAGGGACCCATGATTTCAAATTTCAGTTTGTTTTGAAGGTTTGTTACCGTTGGTGAAGGATCATAGGTCCCAGATTTATACCTGGAAAGGGTAATTATAGAACTGTACAAGGAGGGTCACTAGGGAAAAAGTATGGTAGTCTCATAAATTTTGGTAGGATAGATGAAATAATTTGCAATCGTGCCCCTTTCCCTCCCAACCAGAATAAAATAAAATAAAATAAAATAGAAAGGTACACAGGATGTTTCATCCTGTTTGTTTTTGTTTTTCCTCTTAACCCTTCATTAAATTGAAACCATTACATTTTTTTTTTTCTTTTAAGGAAAGGATGGGTGTTAATTCATCAATTTATTTGGTGTATATTTAGTTCCCTATTGAGTTAGGACGTTCAGCCTAACGTAAAAAAAAATGTTTACATATAACACGTGCAACCACTTTTTAACGGATAATCGAATCAGTTGAAGGGTAAGAATTTAGACAATTACCCAATATTATGAATGATTTTAGTTGATGATGGATGTTTCAACTTTCACCAAGACACTTTGGTTTACTACCAAATCATCTAAAATCGAATTATTAATTTGGTAATAACTACCACCAAAATCTAGAACAATTTTCCATTTGTAAAACTCTCTACTTCATTGATTGCATCAAGGAAATATAAGAAGAAAAAAAATGGTAAAAAGAAAGTAACATTTTTTAATAGGTTAAGTTGGTGCACATTGGGATTTCAGTTTTGTTGTCAACCCATGCATATCTGACCAAACACTGGGATTTTGAAAAGATCACCTAATAAATGAAACATAATCTAAAATGTCAGTGGGTATTTGTAATACTAGGTTAAAAATCTAAATTTGAATAATTTCCATTGGAGAAAACAAAAGGGAGTATCTTGTGATTTGATAGGCTCTATTTCACTCATAGATATGCTTTCCTTACAAAAGGGTAGAAAAAAAATATGCATTTCTTTCCTCTTTCTTTTTCCCTTTCCCAATTTGCCACAGATTAAGACATTTTATTTATTTATTATAAGCAAGGAATATGAACAAAATTACTCGGTTGTTCAACAATTTAATTACTACTTCAAACAAACCAACCTAGAGAAATTAGAGAATCTTTTTGTTTGATCCTGCGTTACAAGCAAGTCCCTTTTGCCAAGTTTATAAGGTCAAAGCTAGCCTTCGTTGTTAGGTTCTTTTGAAATTAGGCCATTAATTTTTATTTTTTGAGAAACAAAACAGGGGCGAAATTGGAAATGTATTTTTCTTTCTTTCATATATAAACTCGAGATTCCTGGAAGACTGAGGAAAGGAAAACAAAAAACAGAGTACCCGACAGAACTTGAAAACAAAGGCTGAAATTTGAAGAAACAGAGATCATTGGGTGTGAAATATATGGCAGAGGTCGTTTTGCTAGTCGATGATTTGAAACTGCTTTCTGGGATTCCTCGCTGTAGAATTTGTCATGAAGAAGAGTTTGAAAGCATAGAAACCTTGGAAGCACCTTGCGCTTGTTCTGGAACCGTTAAGGTAAATACTAAATACATAATTTCTCAATCTTAAACACTTCTATTTTTTTTGTTATTAACTTATTATGCTTCGCGCAATTTTTTTTATTCTCATCAATAACTGTTTTTTTGTTGCACAGTTTGCTCACAGAGATTGCATACAGAGATGGTGCAACGAGAAGGGAAACACAATCTGTGAAATATGTCTCCAGGTTTGAACTTTGGTCATTCAATTTTCAATTTTTTTTCGTATTTTGGTTTTGCACTCTGATCATAACGTTATTTTCATCTTGTTTTAATAAGTTATAATCAAATTCGATTTCTTGATGCCAATCAATTTTTTTATTTTCTAAAAGAAAAAGGAAGAAAAGAGTTATCCAAGTGTACCTAATTTTGGTGTCGTTGTTATGGCAATTGGGTGTGCTTCCTTATCTGATTTTGACAGAGAAACGTTAATAAGTTCCTTTCTTTCTTCCTTTTCCCCTTTGTTTATTTTCAAACTGCAGTTGCTTTTGTGTTTGTCTTTTGCTTAACTTTGCTCAATATTGAAGTATCTCCCCCATCAGTATACTATTTGTATATTAATGCCATGCCCATTTGTTTCTCCTAAAGACGAAGTTTCTCTTGCTTGTGTTGTTTAATCTTCGTTTTAATTGTGGGAAAATGGGATTGGAAGTTTTTTTTATCATACATTCAATGGACTGAGCCTCATTTGTTGCATAATTAATTGCCTATTTGTCTCAAAAAGGCATTGTGTGATGGGCATGTAGATTGATATTATTATTGTTTTTGCAGCAATATGAACCCGGGTATTCAGCTCCACCCAAGAAGTCTAAGATAAATGATGAAGCAATGTCCATTAGGTACTTTTTCATAATATATGTATATTTCCCGCGTCCAATTCAATCAAAGTGATCTTATAACTAATTATTTAATTATTCAATAATCTTCATAACGCTTGGCTACGTGAGATGGAGCAACTAATAAAAAATGTTGTGTAGAAAAACTGAGTATATAAAATTGATTATTGTTGTTATTATTACTCATAAAGGGAGGAGGAAGAAGAGTCAAACGGAAGAATAGAGATCATGGTTGAAGGTGTTGCAATGGAAAACGATTACTCTGAATGCAGTTCTGCCGCAGACAGAAGCGCGTCTTGCTGTCGATCACTTGCAATAGCTGTAAGCATTATCTTTTATTGGCTTTATTCTTTTCACGCGTTCTGCTTCTGAATCAAAACTCTCATATTCCTCTTCTTTTCAATATTAGCCAAGGGAACATGCCTTATGTTGTGCAATAAATATTAATTAATTAAGAATGAAAAAAAGTTGGGTGAAGTTGTGAAAAGCAACGAGTCAAAGTGGACTCAGACTCATTCATTTCCGCTATTGCCAACGCATGGCCGCCCCGAAGAGTTGAAATCAACGTTTTCTCTTTCAAACAAACAAAGTTTTTCTTCATGTGGCTCTATGTAACTGATCAAGAGGGGAACTTCTTTTTCACTTGTGTTTGGAAATTCTCCTTATCTATAACAAAATTTATTACCCATATCATGGTAGGCATGCATTGAATTGAAAAATAACAAACTACCTTTTCTGTGCAGTTTACACTTGTCTTACTCGTAAGACATTTTTTCGCTGTGCTTTCGAATGGAACGGAAGATTACCCATTTACACTACTTACTGTAAGTACTCGATTTCCCGTTTAAAATAAAAATGAGAAAAAACATTTACAATTTTTGCCTACAGACAGTGTTAAACTAGTGAAACTTAATATATTATTTTTATGCAGGTAATTATATTAAAAGCTAGCGGAATTATTATACCGATGTACATAGTAATTAAGATAATTGGAGCCATTCAGAACAGTAGTCAGCGCTACGAGGATTCTGACGATGACACATCCATGCCTGAAGAAGATGAGATACAGCATAATGTAAATTTAAGACATTCATAGATTATTTGTTCATTGTATAAGAGCATTATGATGATGTTTGTCAAAAAACATTTTTCGGCATAATTTAAGATAATGTAATTATGTTCGAAATGCCCTTTTATTCTCCGCCCAAGTTTAGGGATGAAGGTACTTGGGGCGTCCAGCCCGTTAGTTATCACAAAATTAATTACTAACTAAAATCTTGTAGTTATACAAATTATCTTAGTTCTTATATCAAAAATAATTTATTTCATTGTCACTGAAACAGCATGCATATTATTTTAAATTTTCTACCATTTAAACATATAATGATTAAAAGATTGAAAATAATATACATGTACAAAAATTATAGAAGGAACGAGTTTATATTTGTATTAGCTCGAGAAAAAAAAAATCCATTAGAGAACTGCTAAACATGTACAATAGTGGGTCAGCCTTCCATTGTATTAATCGAACTCTCATATCAGCACTTTACGTGCAACTACATACAAGAACAGAAGAAAACAGATATGTTGGACAACCAACTTACAAGGCAAAACTCGGCCATATACTATCGGGAATGATATCAACGTAGAATATGGCCATAAAAGTATGCTTTATGCTTGCTTCTCAAAATAATGAATAATCTCGCTAAATAATTTAACATCGCTGCATCAATTCTCGTGCTTTATCCTGAAGTTCACTTAGGGAACCAACGCAAATGGTTTCCTGGTAACTCAAATTGGTGGCAACTTTGGTCAATGTTTGTATGATAACTGCTATCTCGTCAACCCATTTTTTATTGGGAGAGTTTGATTCAGAAGACACCTTTTTGCATTTACCATAACTGGCCTCAAATTCTCTGGACTTAGCAGCAGCTTTCTGAAGCACAGAAGATGGAAGTCCTGAAATAAATTTAATTTTTTTCATGATAATGTGAATTTGTTTATAATCAACACACTCAGGTAACAGTTTTCTAGTGTGATCCAAAAGTCTTGTACAGACACGCAACTCATTTTGATAATATATTGAGACAGTCAGCCTCAAGTTTAAGCTTAAAAGTCAAAGAACCAAAACTAAATGAACTGCGGATGTTGGATGTGAACATGCTGACTATCAATGTCAGGTTTGTTTGCTCTAAATTTGGTGTTTTATAAGAGGGCAAGTACAAGGACATCACTGATGATTGGAAAATTATTGGTTGAAATCGTGATTCAATGCAATACACGTGTTAGAACTGCGAGGTTATACTACCCCTCCGAAAGTATACCCCTCACTATGGAGGAGCACAACCCATGTTTACTATATTTCAAAACAAGAAGAACATACCAGCTATTCGAGCAACGTTAACACCATAGCTCTTGGGGCAAGCACCAGGCGTGAGCCTGTAAAGAAAGGTGACTTCATCTAAACCTGCAATTCCACCACCAACTTGGCATGCCATGTGGCAGAGGCAGACCTTTATACACACAAAAAGCATATTAAGAAATATGATTTTTCCAAACTAAAACTGACCAAAGCAGAAGGTGAAACAGTTTATACACCACAATGTAAACTTTTTATAGGTATCATATCTAAATATTGTCATGACTGGCAATCATTTATGATGTAAACTAAGAAAATTGAGATTAAAAAGGTTTCCTACAAGCATTGGACCATAAATTCAATTTAACACTGATCATTATTCTGGATAAAAAACTGGGAATACCTTACGATCTTTGAGATAATCTACAGCTAATCGATGATAATGGGTAGAAAACAATCCACGACACTGCACCTTACGCACAAGATGTTCTAACACTGATTCCCTGTCAAATATTTGAAATGAAAAAGGCAGAACCTGAGATGGACTCACCAGAAGCTATAAAAACAATCAAGAATAATGAATCCATAGGGACAAAAAATGCCCAACTAATCCTACAATAAACACTTACGCAATGGCTTGCCCATCAGAAGTTGCAGTCCCTCGCCCAAGCTCATCCAGAGCCACCAATGAATTCCGAGTGGCCGATGACTGTATTCACCATCAGAAGTCCATATTTAGAATGAAACAATGCTTTAATAAGACAAGATTAATTCATATGCATCTGTAACGTGCACAATCAAATACAAGGTCAAACAGCGTTCCCTGAATTACACAACACTAATTAATCTATTGCAGATGAAAAAATTAGGGCAAAAGTTTGCTTCCTCAATGTTGTGTCCTTGCTTCTTACACTTTAGAGGAGAAATAAACTACCATAAACCACATAATTTGTTCATATTCAAAAAAAGAAGAGTGCTGGCAGTCCACTCTTTCAAAAACACACTATTCACTAAAATATATTAAAATTCCAATATTAGACTCATTAAATAAGTGAACCCCACCAAATAGTGTTTTTCCATAACTTTCAACCAATAGAAAGAATATGTTCCTAGTATTTCTCAAAGAAGAAACCAAGACTTGAAATCAACGTAGTTGCTGTCTCGTGAATTATGTTCGAGCAGCCTATTTTTATATGCCTACATAACCCAAATTACAAGTGATACAAATTGATAGTCAAAGGGACATCTCACCAGCATTGTTGCAGTTTCTGAAAGCTCAGTCAAAAATGTACTTTGGCCAGCCATTATATTATCTCTGGCCCCCATTCGAACAAAAATCCGATCAACAGGTGACAAATCAAAACTTTCTGCGGGCACATCAGCTCCTACCTGCATTCGAAATTAAAACTGTAATCCAGGTAGAAATTAAAACTGTAATCCGCAGATAAAATATTGGCTTATTTATGATGAGTCCCAGGGCAAACGACCTTTCAACACATTCCTCCCACCCCCCCCCACCCCAAAAAAAGAAAAGGTAATGACAAATGTAACATGACTTAAAAGCTTCACCTGGGCCAAAATCACAGTCAAGCAAACTTGACGAAGAAGAGTTGACTTCCCACCCATGTTTGGACCTGTCAGAAGAATAAAGCTAGCATGATCTGATCCACCAAGAGTTACATCATTGGGTACAAACGCACCCTTGCCTAAGGTATCACTCCTAAGGACTGGGTGTCCCAAACTTTTAGCATGGAGGTAAGGAGCTTCTGTCGTACATAATGAGCCCACAAAACTAGGTCTGCATGTTGGTCCTTCATAGTAGTCACCCGCTATTGCCAAACTGATCAACAGATCCAATTCTGCAACACGCGAATGTAGTTTAAGCCATGTAAAAAAAAGCTTTTACTTTTTATTTAAATGCAGCATGAAAATCCCATCTTGTGAAAACTCCCATGTGAAAGCACACATTGAATAAAATCAAAAGGGCAGAAAATAGAAATTGATTCAGCTGAAGAAGCATAGGTTGTAAACTACAGGCATTACACTAAGGGTAATAAGGGAGCATGTACCTTTTTTTTTTTTTAATATAGAAGTCACATTATTGAGCAGAAGATACTTGGTTTATAAACTTTATACCCTCCATGAGAAGCTGGAAAGTTGTTATATTAATTGTTATACTAAAAGTGACCTTGTTGGATTGACATTTTAATTTATACTTCGATTGCAGTACAATACCTCAACAATCGTACAAGGCACTAGTAAACTTTAGAGAGATGAGATAATATCTGGGTAATTGCACATCCTTGGCAAAATGATCCAGAAGGACCACAGTATGTACCTGCAGTTGCAGAGACCAACTGCTTCCACTTAGTGTGATGTTCACAAAAGCGCCCAATCAATCTCTGCAATGTATTTTTCAACAAGGTCTCCTTTTCCAATTCAGCTTGGGAGAGTTCTTTTAAATAATTTTTAATATCTGGAGTCCAGTACCTAAAGAAGCCCTGCATGTATCAGATGGGAAATTGAGAAAAAAAAAACTATAGGAATTAAATTTTTAATCGTTGTTGATGCAACATAATGTACTAACGTGCAAAGATAAATCGTATGACAATATGCAGGATTATTTACAAGTTAAGCCAACAAACAGTGAAATATTATTGTAGTTTCAATTATAAAAATCAAATAGATAATTATAGACAGTTCCACAATTGAGATGAAATTTTCAGAGCATCGTTTGTCTTCTTACTTTTCTGGATGAACGAAGTTCATAATCTCGAGGAATATTCCTGGACAAATTTTCTGGCACTTCCAATAGGTACACATCCTTTCCAACATTGACATAAGTAATCTGGAAGATATATAACAACATTCAAAATTTGATTTTATGCAATAAAAAAAGATTAAACTCCAATTGTTTCGGGTAGAGATCTTACTGATGTGTCTCCAAGTAGTTTCCTTTGTTTATTGAGATGCTTCAATAAACTGGACTCAATGTCTTTAACCGCCTTACAAGCTGAGGCATACTCTGTGTCAACTCCTTCATGAGGTATTATACGCCCAGAGCCATTGGCTTCCACCCAATCAAAGGCATCCTTGAAATGATTAAGTTCCATACAAACATCAGGAAGACCTCTACCTGCACTTGACAGCATTCGATAAATCAAACAGCAGCTACAGAATAATTTTATGACATATTTGAGACCACACCATACCCAGTGTTAACAGATGGTGAAGTTGTCTAGATTGGACATTATTCAAAATGACACCAAGTGAAGAACATGCTTGTGACATCTGTTCACAGCCACGCAGAGCTGCAATGAACTCTTGTAGTTGCTTCTTAGCTGCATCCTCGTATAGAATCACTTTATTAGCATTCCTTCCACTAGCTTCACTGCATTCATAAAAACCAAGGCGTATATAATTAGAAGATGGTGACAGTCAGTACGGTTCATATAATATCACACATGTTGGACAATAGTTTTTACCTAGAGGAAAATACTCGTGCAAGCAACCGCTCCATATCAGGCAGCTTGGATAATGCTTTCCGAAATTCTAGTGCAGATGGTAGATTAGCTCCCTTAAAAACAAATCATATATTAAAAAAATCAATACTACGCAATGGTTTTCCATCTGACGATTATCATCAGCTTAACCTAGCCATATATGTCATCTAGTAGATGTCAAAATGCCAACCCCAAATATGATGATGACCAACCTCTCTATCTACACCACTTTCA